AAAATGTAGTTAAATTTTCGAAGTGGCTATACCTACGGGTCCGTAAACAGACTTCGCCAGGCTATATTTACGGCACTCTCGTTCTAAGTCTCCATACGGGCCTGTATTTATCGTTAAAGTCAAATTAAAACGAAAATAACCCTAACCTCTAACCTAACCCCTAAAGAATTAAAACTAGTCAGACTTTTAGTTAAACATGTTTTGTTAAGGCGAACAAAAAACAGTCACAACTCGGATTCAAACCTGCGGACTACAACACAGCAGCCATTTGCCTAACCTTCTGAGCTATTTTCGAGCTCGCTGAAATCTGTAAACAATACGCTTTATAGTGCCGGTTCGGTACATAGAGTGCCGTAAATATAGCCTGGCGAAGTCTGTTTACGGACCTGTAGATATAGCCACTTCGTTAAATTTTACTGCAGTTAGCGTTAATTACCGTGGTTAAATCTTCCTCAACTGTAGTTAGTTAACTACACAACTTAATTTGCGTTGCACAAAACATAGTGGGATAGTTAACTAATCATGTAGTTAACTGTGCATGGGGCATTTAAAAACAAAATCACATAAAGTAAGCAGTGATTAACAACCACCGACAAGCATTTTTAACCGGATTGTAGACTCATATTTTGCAAATAGGCTGCAATTCTATTCAAAATAGTGAAAAATAAACAAGGAAACAAAAGTCACAGAAGGCAGTTTTCCATGAGATGTCTATGCCAAACCAAAGTGTAGCTGTTTGGCAATTATCAGTGTTTCTTCGTGTAATGGATCCCGTTTTGTCTCCAAGAAATCTTCCCATGCAAAAATATTCTGTTTTCACCAAAAAACAAATGTGTTAGCATTTGAAGAGTTTATATTGCCAGAAAACATTCAGAGGGCAGAGGGGCCTGTGCTGGGTTTCAAATTCTGTTATCACTGTTCAACATATTATGATCTAAATGTAGACAACAGATAATCAAGTATTCAAAGACATGCTAATGACATAGTCGATAGAATACAATCTGAATACACTAGAATACAATACAACAAAGTTTAAAATAATAAATGACTTTAAATTGCAAGTCTTATGAAAGTCGCAATCATGCATGTAAATAGGGGGTTAATTGGGGACAAATATTCAATATCATCCTTAAAAAATAGTAAATTTCGAGCACACAATCAACATTGTTGATTTATCCCACTAATTGTGGATTACTTCCCCACATATTTCCATATTTTTATTAATCTCACTTCCCGAGATGGAATAAATTCCCTCTTCCTGACCTATATTTTTTCTTAAAATCCTGAATCCCATGCCAGACTGGCATTTTGTGATTATTTTGTTGTCATTCAGAAAATTGAGAAGTTGGTAATAAACTAGTTTCTCTAATCTTTCTGAAATTACCAGTATGACAAAATAGGCCTGTAATTTTTACATTCATTTTTGTCACCTTCCTTATAGATAAGCATAACTGTGGCCTGTTTTAAGTCATCTGGAAGTATACCAATGTCTAGGATCAAGTTAAAAGAGGGTCTGAATGGGGTTAACTGACTACTGACAAACATGCTTTAACACAACTGTTAACTGACAAATGAGTAATTTTTTAACTGTTTACTGACAAACAAAATATAACTGTTAACTGATAAATTAGTTAGTTTTAGGACCTTTAAGCATTTTTCATTATTTTTTATTTGGCTAAACCTACCAGACCTACCATAAATGTCATAAAGTTAGCAAAGTATTATTAACCGAGCGCTAAATTTGAGCCCACTGTCTAAGGTTATACATATAATACATTTATCATTAATATATTTATTATCTTAATATATTTATTATCTTATTGGAATCTCCCCCATAGCGTTGACGCACATGATGGCGTTCTTCGAAAATAAATATCACTAAGACAATCAGTCTTGTTATACTTTAATTAAGTAAGCAATCGTGATGACATCGTAAATCAAAACAATGTGCTCGTTGAACCACGAAGGTTATTAAGTTTTCGCAAGGTCACACAATGAATGGTGTTATAAAAGTCTTGGTCAGTTTTTATTGCAAGGATCAAGAAGGCGCATTTGAGCATCATCGAAGCCGGGTAATTGTTGATCTCGAGAAACAGTCAAATGTAACATCTTTAAAGAAACATCTAATAGATTTCCTTGGACTAAAAGAGCAGGCGAAAAAGTTTGGCCTTGGTCCTTTTGCGCTCAAATTGTATCGTTTAGCAAAAGCTTCTGGAGGTGGAAAAGCCGTTGAAAACTTTGCTATTGTCTCTGATAGTCGGTGGAAGTTGGAAGCAGTGAGCCTTATTGCGGAAGAGAGCAACAGCGAGTTAAATGGTATGTAGCCCCTGAGCAATGGGGGTTGACGGGGTTGTGGACATCGGAGAAACCGGGGGGGGGGGAGGTTAAGCGATCTTGAAACTGTTGGAAGTCTTGGAAGACCCTTGGGGGTGATTAAATATAGCTATTTTTCCATGATTATCAGCACTTTCTCATTTTCATATACCAGAATGACAATTGTATGGCCTTAAAACATATAATATATAGACATATAACATTGACTGTGATTTCAGTTCATGTTATTCAAGAGGATGTAAATTGGACAGGAAAGTATGGAATTGTCATTCCTAGACCTGCACAGAGAGCCGAGAGTCCATCAACAAGTGGAGCTGCTTAAGGTGACTTGGGTACAAAAAGAAACGCTGACACTGTGAAAGCCGGACAAAAGAGAAAATCATCAAAGAGTGCACAAGAGGATAGGAGCTTAGTTAAAAAGTTATTTTTGGATGAGAACAATATCAAAAGGAATGAAAGACAAGAGAAAGGACTTCAGCAGTTTAATGAAGGTAATGGTGTGTTGAAGATTTGTATGTCTTGCTGTCTTATATTGATCAGTGTAATGGCTTGTCATAGGTCTTCTATAAGTGACATTCGGCAGTGTACAATGTTGTATACTGTAAAGTCTATTACAGGCCTTCCAACTTTGTGGCATGAAAATGAGTGAGAATTAGTTTTTCCTGCTATCTGAGTCATATAGCCCGCCGTCGGCAGGCGTTGACCTAGGGGGGTTTGGGGGCATGCCCCCCCAGAATTTTTAAATCTGGAGTCTCTGAAATGCCATTTCCTGCATTTTGGGAGAAGATTAACAGAATTCTAAAGGTACAAAAATGGCATTAAAAAACTCAAAAGTAAAACTTTTTGGACATCTGCATGCAATTATAAGTTTCATTTATTTTTTTATTTTGTTAATATTGTTTAAAAAGTAAAAGTCATTCTAAATTTAAATGTTAATGAGTTATAGCTTGTGCTTATGTGCTTTGTTGTATTCATAAGTAGCAGATTTAGCTGCTTTTAATGCGTTATCATGCCCACGCGCGAATAATGCTAATTCATCACATGAAATTAATAAGATTATAGTTTATATTTTACATAAAGGGTTGTCTGGGGAAATCCCTCATTAACGTGTCAATTTACTAATTTGCGCAATAGTGCAACTTATGCAATACTATATGTTACACAGCAACTGCTCAAAAAATACTTTATTTTATAGCTATTGATTCAGCTAAATAGGAATATTTGCTTGCAAAGAGAAGCGTTAAAACAAAAGTTGGATCGCTTCCTTTTTTCGCTTTTGTGTGAGAAAATAGTGTTTATGCGTGTGAGCGTGAGAAATATGTCAAATGTGTGTGTGTCTCACGCAAAATGTGTGAGAGTTGGAAGGTCTGCTATTAATTTTATATTTATTCCCTATCTAGAGCTAGTTAAATTGAGTGGTAGTGTTGCTTTGAGTGAAATTGAGATAAAGTGTGGAATTTGCGTCAAGAATTATTCAAGTAGAAATACAGAGAGGAGCATTCAAGGAAAGATAAAGTATTTTAAATCTAGTAAGTTATAAAGTACTTGACCATAGTTAGACTCCTGTATCGTTTGGATTAATAATGTATCATTCATTGGATACATGCTAATTAAATGTCATTACAGTGTCATTACCAGGGGCGGATTCAGACAGGTTTGACAGGTTTATATAAACCTGTCAGATTTTCCAAAGAAAGAAAATCTATAACCTTCCATGTACATATATAACTAATTTAAAGAATATTCTGTTTCATAAACTTGATGTTGTCTAATCTATTACACCATTTAAATACTCTTATTGAAATTTGATTCTGGATTACCAAGCGTATTTAGACCCACTTACATAATAAGCATTTAATTAATTAAGGACTTATCGCGCTGGTTTCCTCTTACGAAATGTTGTAATACTAGACAAATAATCTGCTAATGTATCGTCGTGGGTCGTGGACTGAAACATCGCATGAATCACACATAACCGCCCGCAATTATGAGTAAACCGGTGGTCAGAGTTTTCTCAATGAGAGTAAACCGGTCGATACGCCATTCGATTGGCTAAACGGCTGCGCTCCGACGGATGTAAACTGGTCATAAACCTGTGAGTCGAGCAGTATTTAGAGAAAAATGGGAATGAAAGTTAAAGGTGACGTCAGAACGCAGGAAATGCTGTTTCAGAGGCCCGAATTTTAAAAATTTCCCGGGGTGCATGCCCACAGACCCCCCTAGTGTTGGGTGGACCTAGTAAACCTGTCATCCAAAACGCTGGATCCGCCCCTGATTACAGTGTAATTTTGCATCATGCAGTGAATGGTCAGTTAAGACCCAGTTAATTAAGACAATTGGGGGCAATTAATTAGTAAGTTCCATACATGCAGTCCCTGGCAACAGTTTTTAGTTAGATGAAATTTTAAGTCATTTCTTTATGGCTTTGCCACCTTAACCAGCATTGTTAACACTTTTTGCTTTGTATCATTGTTACTGCATGATGTTCCTAACTATTCTGCTTACTACATAGTCTACATCATGTAAGACATGTATGAACTGTCTGAAGAATTTCCGGTTAAGGTGGTATAGCCATACAAAAATGCCTGTAAGGCCCCTTTAAGACCTTTAATATTTTAACACATTGTCACGTTTAATTACGGTTTTATAACTTGCACGTAAAAATGAAAAAAGTATTTACATCATGAAATGATGTTTGTCAAATCAAATCAAATCAAATCACTTTATTCACACTATTTAAAATATATACATTATTAACTATAACTAATTCATTTTTTGAGTATATAGAAGAAAAAGATAAAATGAACGAAAATATTTCAAACGTGCACGACGGTTAAAAGAGCATCAGCTTTCGAGTTAACCATCGTCTACGTATAAATAAATAGCTAAGCGGTTGAGCTAATTATTGAATTACATAATTTTAGTGGTATGCAATATAATTTGTTTGTTAATTTATTTTTATAAATTATTTAAACGGGAATAAAAGAAATAAAAGAAAGGAAATATGAAGAACGGCCATTATAAATATATGCAAATACTTTTTGTATATTAGGAGAATAATTTAAACAGTACAATGGATGGCACCATCATTGATTAATCATTAAATTGATCTTATATTGTCTCTTAAATCCATCTGTTGTTGATATTTTCTTCAAGCAGGTAGGAGTACCTTCCCATAACACTGAAGCGGAGTATTTGAAAGTAAATTTTCCATAGTTTGTTCTTATTTGTGGTCGGTAAAAATTACATCTAGCTGCATTCCTGGTATTATAATTATGAACATTGGTCACTGGTAATACAAAGTCGTTAAATATAGAAGGAACCGTAGTAGGATTCATAAATAATTTATGTGCTAGCAATCCAATTTTTAATTTGACAATATTTTCAAATTTTAAAAATCCAAGTAGTTGAAAATATTGCGAAGCAGATTCTTTTCTGTTAGCAAAGAGGATACTGCGAACACAAGTATTTTGCTTAGACTTCAACTGTTTTAGATTTGTATGATAAGTATTTCCCCAACTCATAGACCCGTAGTCTAAATATGGATAGATAAGGGTATAGTATAATTGTTTTAGCATAATTACCGATAAATAATTATGCAATTTATAGAAAATTCCCAAATTCTTTGATATTTTACTTTTAACATGAGTTATTTGATTTTTCCAGTTCAATTTCTCATCGAGATATATTCCTAGATATTTAATACATTGTTTTTGTATAATATTCTGTATTTCTATTTTTGAAGTTATAGTTTTCTTTGATGAGCGGATCAACATAAAATGTGTTTTTTGCATATTAATAGAGAGCTTATTAGCATTGCAATATTTAAGTATATTCTGAAATTCGTTATTCATCACTGTTTCAATTTCCTTAAGATTTTTACTGGCATAGAATATATGTCAATGTTATTTTCAATTTTCAGATCACTTCACTAAATGTTCGAGTAACAAGACAAAGCATGACTTAGAATTAAAAACTCAATGCAGCTTGGATGCATTTACTTTCCACGAATCCAGAGAAGATACAGAAATTGAGGATACATGTGCAGACGCTCTAATATCAGAAAAATAAATATCATAATTTGCTTAGTGAGTCTAGTGACTGTGAAGATGAGGACTTGTCAATGTATGATGTTTTGGATTGTTGTCACAACGTTGCAAGTGAAGTGGAATTAGAGGTCGAAGAACAGATTGAGAACAATGATTCGGATGTAGAATGGTAAGATATCTCAGATAAAACTGATGTTGATACTGAAAGTCCTGAAAGCGAAAATGATGCTAAAGATAATGAATGCTTAATTTCGTGCAATATGTGAGTATAGAAGTTCAAGAATTTGTTCAAAACTTTAAAACACCAACCATGTAACAAGCACCCGCAGTTATGTTGGTTCAGGGAACAAAGAGTCTGAAAGAGAAACAACAAACACATTATGCATGAGTCAATTCCAGGAGTAACCATCCCCCCGGAACACACCCGGGAATTTGATTTGATCGGTTACGATTGTGCAAATGCCCGGGTGCCGGGACACAACTAGGAGACTAATGCACGGCCCCTGGGCAAGCTGAGAATGGAACATGTCCCACCCCCGGGATGATTTTAAACGTTAATTAAACTTTTAATGGCATATCATAGACATAGTAATTTAATAACATAATATTGAATTAAACTGCTATGGGATATTATATAACATGAATCTTGCTAAGAGTGGTTAAACAACGAAATCATAAATTATATTCGCATGGCTCAGGTAATAATTTTCGCTTATTCTTAAATTTGCGCAATTTCATTTCCTGCTTTCAGATTGAAAAAGATCGATTCTATAGTGTGTCTTAAAATGTAAGCAGCTTTAATTGACCTTATACTCGATATCATATAAAAAAAATTCTAAATATCTAAACTTTGATCTGCCTGTGGAAAACATTTAGACCCCGTTTACACGGTATCGGACGAAACAGACTGAAATTTGTCCATTTTGGCCTTCCGTTTAATACACAAGAACCATGGAACTGGAGGGATTTGAGACCCCCTATTAAACAGGACAAATTCGCGTGTAAACAAGCAAGAAAGGGCGAATTTCAGCCCGACCTAAATTTGTCCAGTACTGTGTAACTTAGGTCTTAAAACTCGGATTATTGAAAAATAATTTCAATTTTGCAAACCTAAAGTCTGCCTGAACTCTAACACTCCGCAGATTTAAGTGTGCATGGCATTTTGAAGAGGCTGTCAAGTCCGTTCTAAATTTGTTTACATTTTTTGTGTCAAACAATAGATAATTTAATTAAAATTCCGATCTGTGGGCCCCAGAGATAGGAATTTTAATTAAATGATCTATTGTTTGAAACAAAAAATGTGAGCAAGAACGGACTTGACAGCCTCTTTAAATTAGACAGTTTTTTCCTTGTTCTTTTTTCTTGTTGCTTTCGCTTTTTCCGCTCCTCTCTTCCTGTTTATTGACACCTGTGTTAAATATTCAAGCCATAGCTTTACATCATCTGATGACAGCAAACATTTTTTGGCAAGCATGTCAACATCTGCTTCCTCCACGCATCTATCATTTAATTTTCTATGATATTCTGCTAAAATATCACTCTGTGGCGGACACCTTATGGCTTTACCAACTGCATACAAATTTAGTAACTGTGACACATCTGTAACATAATGACCACAGCAAACACCAACGCAACTTGTGCAGTCCATCCTTCCCCATGATCATGTAACATCGACTACCGGGTATGGGAAAAAACTGAATGATGGCCCTTCTGGATACCAGCTTGTAGGAATTGGAAGATTTCTTATACCTTTAAAAACAAAGCTCAGCTCAAAATTTAAAAACATTTCTGTTGGCCTGCCATCCCCAGATTTTTTCATAGAAATTTTTAGTTTAACATTTGGTTAAATATAAATTGTGCAAATATTGCATACTTGTACCATATTCTTTGCAGGAATTGCAGACGTAAGTTTCAATGGTTTCTGCTTCCACTTTTGTGACATTTATGCATTTTCCATGATACCACTGATCACACTGATCACAGCAAATCATAAAGCTAAAAATCAAGTTGAAAAATTACATTTTTTTCAATATTTACTGTAATTGTAAATACATTGTAGTGCATTTTATGCAATGCATGATGTTTTATTAAACATTAATAATAAAAAATAATAAAATAAATGTTAAAAATGAATGGACTAGGAAACGTGATAGCAGTGTTCTTGGGACGACTAGGAAAAAAGCTGGTGGACCCCAAGTCTGATCAGCTGAATAAATAGTTAAGGGGATGGCAATCCTGTGATTCTAACATGGTAAAACAGAGGAAAATTTACCTTTTATTCCCTTCAGAGAAACCACAGAAACAAAAACTGCCTCCAAATGATGTACCCAGTACAGGATTTTGTCTTCGGGATTCTATAGAGAACGAAAGATAAAGATTCGCTATGACTCAAGTAAAATTCCTGAAATTGCCTGTATTAATTTTCAATCACACTGTACCTTCCTGACACCGTGGATGTGGGCATCCTGGGTTGTTTACCATTTACATGTAAAACCCATCCGGTTTGAAATTGTGCTAATGGTAAGCAAAATTTCGGATAGAAAATCCCATTCGGATTATTCGCTTTCCATTTAATAATTTCAATTGTTAAATTGCGAAGAGCCTGGAACTGGTGAAAAAATTTAAAAAATGTAAATGGAACAACATTTACCGGTTGAAACTTTCCAATCAGGAAGAGAGGACAACCTTTTCAAACAAACCGTTTATTCCGGAAAAGTTCCGGTTGGACCGTCGAAATATGCTTGTTCCATTTACTTTCCGTATGGAATCACCGGAATTTCCATGTAAATGGTAAACAACCCTGATTTACCACAACACCTCAGCATAAAAACATATTTTCAGGCAAGCTTTTATCCATGTGGTTATCACGTACTTTCCAGATTTCCGAGAAATATTTAAATAATGTAGGGTCTTCCTTCTGCAAATTTTGCTTTTCCATTTTATTTCCTTTAAGAAACACCATAAGCTTACTTCTCTGTGACACAAAATCATGGTTTTCGGCACCTCTTGTCAAATGGATTACAGTGTTCATGCATGGAGTGCCATCAACTCGACTAATGTACTGATCCAAGGCAGCAGACATGTTCTTTCCATGTAATTTCTTATCAAATTCCCCATTTTCTCAATAAGGCACACCATGTAAAATAGATGAAATGAATGTGTTCGAGTGTCCACGACTTAAACATCCATTTTGCAGTTCGACGTGATTTAATTAAATCATTAGGCCTATACGTCTATACAAAGTCACAAAGCTCAAATTGTTCAAAACTTTGAATTTTGTGTTTCGATATCCAATGTATATGCTTTGTATACTTTATAAAGAAGCGTTTTAGTAGGATTTTCAAGATATTTTAGTGATAGGCCTACATACAACAAATCATATTATATTACTAGACTGTAACGTTGCTATTTATAACAATTTGCGTGTTGTTACTGAATGTATATTTAATATGTCTCTCTGTAAGCTTTTGAAGTCTTATAATTTCTCATATTTGTTTAATTTTAATGCTTTCTCTGCATATGTAAACTAATATAATTAAAGCTAGGTAAATACAATAAAAGTACATAAGTTGGAACATGTATATGTTTACACTTTACACTAGACATTTTGCTGGACTCTCCTGTTACGAAACTAACAAACAGGTGACCCTCTTCTACATATGCTACAAATAAGAAAAAGATATATGTACATGAGCAAAATAAAAACTGTCAAAAACTCAAAATGGAAGCGACAATGAGTGACTTTGATGTTTTGCCTTTCCTATGAAAATGCAAGCAGAATAATGAATGTGACAACTTAAAAACTAGAAATAATTATAGTCTACTTATGCAAGAAGTAGACAAGTAGTTTATGCAAGAAAATAAACCAAAAGTGACTGTCGTTTATGTTTCATGCACGGAATGCTATAGCATGGATACATGTTGTATATAAAAACTGACTTGGGTTATTGCCGTGGGGCCTCACGCGAGACTTTTAAAAAAGCTTATTTTGTGGTAGTTCAGGCGACAGTCAGGTAGTCTGTGTAGATTGTGGATCTTGTTGTGGCTGATTGGAGGTTTGTCCTTTGAATCGGAAGGTGAATAGTTGAAGCTCATGATTCTGCTGTTCAGCAAGTCAAGATCGATAAACCCAGCCAGAATCAAGTCTCCAAGAACAAGGTGCACTTCCAAACCACAAACTCCTTCCAATAAATCATGCATAATGTCTGGAACATAGTTCAGGCATGAAAGTGCTCCACATTGTTGAGAAGACAAGGACCTTTAATCCCAGTTGACATAGGATCATTTAGTTCTAAATCATCACAGTAGTTGGCATAACTACGAGACAACTGGGCATGTTGTCGCATGGTGCATTTCATCAATGTGCATTTTACAGTTCCTACAAAAATTATGGCTTATAAAACTTTCTACAAAACCACAGATACCATTCAGGCCCAAGTTATCCCCTGTAACTTGAGCAATTCCAACCTTAACTGTGTCTTCGTAAAGCCCTTCTTTTCTAAATCTTTGATGTCATCAACAAATGGTTGTAATATTGGATTAAATCCATAAGTTTTGACATCACCAGAATTGTACACTGCGACCAAATAGCAGTTAGACAACAAGGAGTGGAACTTTGGTGGCAAGTTCAAGATTGTGCAATAAATGAGACCTATTTTATGCACCCCTGCTTTTGAGCCAAGAGGATTTGCGATTTTGCAATCATCTACATACAAAAGAAGGGTGATATTCTTATGATTTGAAAAGAATACATGTCCTCGACAGAATTCTTCATCATGGAAATCTTACATTACTTCATCACCACTAGGTATGTATTCTACTATGGCACTCATGAATCCATTACTTTCCAAAATGTTCTGGGGGCAATTGTTTTAGCTGTATATATTGGAACATAACATGCTTAGCTACGTGATTCACATGCCCAGTATCTGGATTCTTTCACTGATCGTAAGCAACTGCAAATGGCACCTCGCGAACTTATCAGCAATTCCACTGTGACTCACATGACCATGTCACACAATTTTAAAATTGAAAAGGGAATTATATCTACCCATTTGTAGTAAATGGTAAAACTTTTATTGAGGGAAGAGACTCTTGGGTGATGTCAAAATTAACAGATATATTATTAAATTATTACATGCGGGGGCTCAGATATAGTGGCTCAATCTTTGTGACTCAAACTTGTTCTTAAACTGGCTAACAGGGCCATCAGTCCAAATTCGAACTCATTGATTTCAACAGGGATGCTCTGCAGTATCTCATTGAGAAACATTACCACTGCAATTTTGGTATGTTGCATACAATCACTCACCACTACTTGAGACATGACCTCGCCCTTCACCCATGTGACTGTGGTAAATAAAGTTACTTGTTTCTGGTTCCAGTGTGCAGATTGGACTTCATCCTGTGATGCACATTTGTAGTTTTCTGCAAAATCCATTTGAAGCACTGCCACACTGCTTTCAGTACTTGAGGCTAGTTTTTTATCCTCTTCATACTGCTCTACTTATAGGCGCTTGATATGGTAGTGTTGCAGAAACTTTGGTGCCATGGAATTTATGTGATGGTAAAGATCTTCCACTGTCCCAGTTTCTTGTATTTTGGCCAATCTTCCATTGTTTTCTTGCCACTTCATCCAGGTTGCTCTTGTATCTTCTACAGTCTCTGGCAGAAAATATTTAGCAGAAAAACCACAACCATCATATGTGCATTCACTAAACCAGCATGCATCACTGTTTGAGTCAACTATACAGGAGGCTGGAAACTCTGTATTGTATGATGGAATGCTAGGAATGTGGCTATGAATTGCATCCACTGGAAGAAAAATGTTCTGATGGTAGACACAAGTGCACACATTGGATGGTGTTTTAGAACTCAGCAGCACATTGGGAGGACGAAGGTCTGCAAATTTGCTTAGTCCTAGCTTAATATTTGGATTTTCTGTCTTGAAAATTCCATATGCCTCCTTGATTGTCATATACAAATGTCGCTTTTGCATTTTTTGCTTCCATCTGCATTTCTCATTGTTACCACATCTCTCTTCCCCGGAGCTATTCGGCTTATATCATCACATGTATAAAAACTCTTAACTGCTTCTATGGTCTCAGCCTCTAGTGATAGAAGATGTCTCTTTTTCACATTGGTACTTTCCACTTCACCATATTCATCAAGAAGTTTCCTAATTACCATTTTCTTTTTTCTAGGGCTTTTTGGTAATGCTTTCTTTACATTGTTCACTGCTCTGTTGAGGGAACTGTTTCTGGCATAAACCTTGGAAACTTGTGCTGGGCATGATGGGGTTGACATCCCAGTTGTTTTTGCATGGCTCTTTTGTTTTCTAATCCTATCTTTCGCCCTTTTTTCTTTAATCTATCCTGGTCTCCCTGGGTCATACTTCCAAATGCACATTCTTGCTTCTTTTTTGTATTTTTGAGTGTAATTTCTATTTGCCTTGTATTGTTCATACAGACCTTCTTGTTTAAATTTTTTCTTCTTTTTCTTTGCCTTTCAGCAGCACTTAATAGCTGTGTCTTCTCTTTGCATATGGGTGCCATTAATACTTTATATTGACCACTATAGTAACATTCTGGAATATGGCAGCCAAAAAAGACTTTGGTTGCCAAAAAAACTTTGGTTGCCATGGCAATCAGCTGACTGCCTGGTTACCAAGGAATAAGGTTCATAATATATGCCAAAAAACTTGTTTTCTTACAATTCTATTTAAAAAGTGATTATATGTAAATATAGAAACAAATGTGTGAGTTGCCATGGTACCTACATAAATAGCTTTAAACAAGTACTATCCAACTGCATTTAATATTTTTTTTAAAAAACCAACATTGCTATTTTGAATTATGTAAACAACTACTCATGAATTTCCTTGTTAGTATTTTAGTAAAAAATGTGTTTTTTTTCCAAGATGGTTGCTTTGCTGTGACTCGCGTGACCAAACTTGAGGGTGATTTTTCTGAGCAAATATTGAGCATTTTTTCTTCATTGTTCTGGGGAAAGTTTCATTACCTAACTTTACCAAAATCTCAAAGACATATCTCTTAGTGACAAGTAATTATAAAACTTTGTATGAAAATATTGTGACTCACATGACCCCAAAATGAGGGTGTTTTTACTGGCGGCTAGTAGAAAGCCAAAAACATAAGTGGTAATATTATTCATGAAATTAGTTCCTCAAAAACATAACGAAACTGAAATCACTAAATATTGAAGAAATCAGGTCTTCTTTAAAGGAATAAGATGATTTTGTTAGGAAATGGCATTTCTTAGCCGAGCATTACAGAAAATCATGCATAACGTTAGCTCCATTTTCCACCTTGACCTTGTGACCCCAGAAATCGCCAAGGAGAACATGATTTTTCTGGACGCTATCCATCCACATAAGCGAGTTGCTATTGCATTATGGTGGCTGGCAGTAGGCTCAAGTTTTTGTGCTATCGCTGCTCATTTTGATGTTGGGAACTCTACGTGTGTGATGGTCACAAAGGAATTTTGCCAGGCCCTTAATAGATTATCAAGGCAATATATTAAATTTCCCAGCAATTGTGACGAAACCACTCGAGCCTTAGCTTTATTTCAGGATGATTCCAGTTTCCCACATTGAAATCATTGCACCAAAAGAGCCTTTCGATTATTTCGTTAGACATCATCGCCACAGCGTTATCGTGCAGACAGTGGTAGGAAAAAATTTAACATTTTTGGACACTGCAATCGGTTACCCTGGCAGCATGCATGATGTGCGAGTTTTAAGGTCCAAGGCACAGAATGGCAATATTTTGGTTGAACCATTTGCAACAGTCAATGGACTACAAGTTCAGCCTATGCTGCTCGGGGATGGGGCATATCCATTGCTTCCTTGGTTGATGAAGCCCTACCCTAACGGTGCTATTCTTAATCGTTTTCAACGCCTGTTTAACAAGACCCTTTCTTCCGCTAGAGCTATGGTTGAACAGGCGTTTGGAATCCTTAAGGCAAGGTGGAGAATACTGCTGAAAAGGCTGGACAACCGATTCGAAAATATTTCAGAAGTAAGATTGTCATGCTGCGTACTATTGCCTACATAACTATTGCCAAGATTCTGGCGAAGAGTTTGATGACGACGAGATTCTGCAAAGAATTATTTCTATTCACAGAGAATACGGAGAAACTAGGCAACGGGAAAACATTGCACAAAATCCAGCCGCTGAAGGCATTCGCTTGTCAATCGAACAGAGTTTGGCATAACTAGGAACCGAAGGCAATTTATTAAACAAAATACAAGAATATGGAGTACAATGAATATAATCGCAATACTTATAATTATTATTAAAATTAGCTTTGAATATAATCCATAAACAGCTAACAGTCTTGTATATCAATCAAATGTTTTAATAAAAATGTATCTTATAAAAAATGTTTGTTCCCTTACACTGTTAGTGTGCTCGCAGCCTAAAATTTAGAAATGGGAAAATATTGGAAATTTTTCCCTTCTAAATTTCAAGCTGTGAGTAGGCTATTACACTTTCTACTTTTTCATTATTTACATCATTCTCAAGAAAAATTCCTGATCTAATCTGCGCCCTTCTTCGTCCAGCTTTCGCTGATCTGCTTCAAGCTTGACCAGTAAATCTTCTGCACGTTTCTGTGCCTTCTCCATCATTTCCATCTGGGAGTTCTGCATTCCCACCGCAGCTTCTCTGTCAGACAGCTTCTCTGTCAAATCGATCATCGCACTTGCAGTTGTTACTCTGCCTTTCTTTTCTTTCTTTTTCTGCTCCTCGTTTGTCTTTTTAATTTTTTGTTTTGCTCGTCGTTTCGCAGAACTTGGCGAACTTTCCGAATCAGATTCACCAGGCAGTGAACTGTCGTCATATTCCTCGTCAGACTCGGAGTCATTCATTTGACCGCTAGAAGAAGATTCTTCAGACGGTTTCCCACTCTGAAGAACCCCCGGCATCGTTACGACGGCCCGCATACCGAGAACTTCGTCAAAAGAGTTATAGTAGGGACTGGTTTGGCGTGGTCATCCGGTCTTGTTGTTGTTGGTCTTTGTGTTTTGTGTGCTGACTTTAAATTTCTGATTTTGTCCTTGCACTGCTTTGCAGTTCTTGGCATTCCAACATTGCACACGGCTCGGACAATGTTGTGCCAAGTTTCCGTTGCCCGCGCACTTTCCAGCTCCTCGATTCTTTCTTTCCACTCGTTGACCAGTATGCTGGTGTGCCTCGCTCCACTTGTTTGACGTTTTGGCACCATTATTTGGATTGCTGTTTGTGTTGTTTGCCAATGTGGATGGAGCACTGTTACTGCAACTGGAGTTTTCATGTGCAGCAACGTCCGAGCTTGTGGACACAGATAAAGCAATATTCATGGATGCACTTGGGAAATGCGCACGTTGCAGTACGTAAGGGAAATACGGATAGTATTGAGCCTGTTGTTGTTGGTGTGTAAACATCCATTTCAGATTTAGAGAGGCATCACACGAGCAACATTTTTGTCTACATGGAAGGGGTTTGAATGCATATATGCTGCAGCTTCATTTTGGTCATTGTGATGGTCTTGCAAACGACCTGAACATTGCGACTGTGACATTTTTTCCTCAAATTTGTTGCGATCGATATTTCTCTGTTGGCGTATTAAATATTGCAAAGGTTTTGAAAATAGCACTTGTTGCGATCAAATAACGTTCAACTTAGCTGTCTATTTGCCTCTTGAAACTAAAAATTCTATTGGTTAAACTCTTCAATCCACTTGAGATTCTCATTCTAGCATGTTTCAAACATACCCTGTATCATGCTTGAAGCGCGCTGCGGTGCCTTTGAATTTCCAAGCAAATCTTATCAAGTTTCATATACTCTTGAGTTTTGCACGGTCACACTAGCAAGCACGATTCTAGCGCTAGTGTGACCGCGGCCTAAGAGATTCATGGTTTTGGTTTTCAAAGACATGACAATCTGCGAGAACAAATCTGAACTCTCACGAACAACATCATCAATTGTTGACTGAACTATGCTACTTGATGCCTTCATTTTAGGTATTGTTGATGCCGCTTGTTTGGTTACATCTTTATTCAAGTTTCAAGACATTGACATGAAGAGGTTGCATGCATCGGGCAGGTGGATTACTAAAATTGTTATCAAATGTTATGTTATCAAAATTGTTGTTATCTGCATCCTTATCAAAACCATTGTGACTGTCGTTTCCTCTGTCATATGCATTAATATTTTTATGCTGCTTCTCAATATGACGTTTAAACAACAGAATAGCGAAATTCTGCGAACAACCATCTTGGCCACATACAGTTGGGCAGGTAAATTTACATCATACGAGAATGATGTGTCGGGTTCTAATATGCCGCAGTAAGTTATTCACATTTCCATGCACGATTTTGTTGCATTTTGAACAGGTGTAGCCCATGTCTATTTAATTGTTCTTTTCGTCTTTGATTTTTTTGAGGAGCCTCTGTCTGGGTCCAAGTGCAGGAATTATCTCCTTTATTGATTCTTCATCAAGAAGACCAAATGCTTCTTCTTCTAGCATGTTATCTGGAAAAGAAAAAAAATAATGATACAGAAGTGCCTGTGTTTAAAGACAGTAGAAAATTGTGAGATTTTACAAGTTTTCTTTAGAAACAGCTCAGCAGATTCCAACATAGGGTGGACAACGTTTTTGAGTTGAGCATCTGAATTATATAAATGGATGAAATCCAATCCAATGATGGCACATATGGTAGTGATTTCGATTGGCTGAGAGAGAAAAGTCTGCATAATTATGTTGAACCATAATTATGTTGAATCCAAAAGGAATTCCCATTATATCCAATAGGAATTCCCATTAAATCCAATAGAAATTCCCACTGGAACTTGTTCGTGATATCTAAAATTCTGTGCATAAATTGCTGCTCCTTAAGTCTGTGTTCCACTTCAACCGTATCGCAGCAAACTGTTGTGTATTCTTTGTGTCAAAGTTATTAAGTGCTCACAAAACAAATAAATATGCTACGTACAACATGTTCTGTTGCCAAGTTTGTAACGAACACTTGAACTTGTGATTGAACTTGTGATTGAACTTGAACTGTTAACATTTCAACTCTGAAGAGAGATAGATAGTCTTAGACTTAAGCCGTTTTCAAGTTAAGCCCCAACCACGCCCAAACCACTCCCATTTTTGCCAAGGGCATAACTCAAAGAAAGAAACACAACTTGGAAAGTTCAAGTTAACTCATTCTCATCCGGTGGAAAAGTAGCAATTTCGAGTGGTGTTGTTTCAAACGCTTATATCTCTCAAACTATACATCGCACGGAAACAGAAATTGCATCGTTCGAAAGAGGAGGACTTCTGCTTTCCAACAATACCAATTTCAATTTCATCCGGAGCTTGGTTAACGATTTACTCGCATAAATTTGCATAAATTATGATATAAAAAAATGTTGCAATTATGCATAAATGTATTTAGCGGTTCAAATTTCAAATATGTCAAAAAATTTTATGAATATGACTGAAAGACACGGTTATGATCTACAAGTACCCGACGTTTCATGCATGTAGCATAAATAGAAATATTTTTATTGAATTTTTATATAAACTAGGTAGTGGAGTAAAATTTACATTTTGGGCTCACATGAAACAAATAAATCAAAGGTCCTTTTTTATTGCTGCAACATGTTATCAATTCAAATTTCCAATATTTCTTACTCTCCAAAGATAGTATGGCAACAAAATAAGTCTGTGATACCCACAAAAGAACACTCAAATCATGATTAGCAAAATGTCTTTATTTCTACAATTACTACATTAGTGTCATAACCAGCCTCAAAATTTGGTCATGCTATTCAAATTTGAAATAATCACTACTCATTTGTTTAGAAATTGATTGTTTTCACAATCTAGAACATGAAAATATTTGCAAATAGCACGACCATGCAAGTGTTGTTGGACTGGCATCATCATAATTAGTAGTCAGTAATGTTTGCTAAAGCCGAGTAATGTTTGCCAAAGCACAAAATTGGATTATGTGGTGAAAATATTTCCTTTATATTGTACTACAAAAGACCTAAGACTGTAACCAAACTGATATCAGATCACCACGTCATACCCAAATCTGTTGCGATGAATATCTGGACTTCTTCCTGTATAAATTTCAAAGTCGTAATATAACCATTAGGATTGTCTGCAGCAACCCACAGATTTATTCCCCACATAGTAGGTCATCTAGCTTTCATGAACTGCCTAACCCCAACCTATTTCTTGATTTGACAGTGTGTTTGTCTGCAACAACAATATTCTGTGATGGCTGGTACAGTTGTTGATGCAGTTTATTGCTGTAGTCTTTAGTACAGGATCTACCATATTCACAAATGCCATAAGCACTTTGTACCTAACCCGAGAAATTATGTCTATTGCCCACAGACCATGATATAAGGTTTTTACACTCCAATAATTTTCAATCTCACTGTCGACCTTTAGCAAACCTGCATATTATACTAAAAGGCAATCAACCTCTCAAGGTTGGTGGATTGCAAGACCCTTTTTTATTAGTATATGGGGATACCTTTTGAGTTATTTGTATGTGGGCATATGTATTGGTATGGCCAGGAAACTACCTCCTGAAGCATTCCCTTAGTAAAAAAGAGTCGAATGAACTCAAGCTCACAGTTCATTGAGCTGAATGAACTCAAGCTCACAGTTGATCAAAATGGATCCCGGACATGTCAGTCAGGAGCAAAATCTGGGAGAACATTCCTGGCGTCAGGATCATCATATCCATCATGTACTATGGGGCCTAGTGGGGATGCTAG